CATACATACATACATACATACATACATACATACATACACATACATACATACATACATACATATATATATATTTCATCAGATTAATTCCAGGATAGAACTAATTTATATTTATAACTGAAAAATAGCAACAATAACTAGAAAAAAAACTCATTGTGCACTATTCATTCAAATTCATTAATATTATCCCTTTAGTGTTTTTTTAAAATAACAAAGATTAAGAAATGAATAACCAAACCCTTTCTCAATTTACTGCAAGGTGAAATATAAATAAAAAAATATATAAAGCTTGAGGATCTCACTAGATCAGATAGTCAGACCATAAATTCACAACTGCAATTGAGAATGAGATGACATTAAATGAAACATGAAAAGATGTAGTTCATGCATCACAGGAACAAAGCAGAAGCCATCAAGATAGAATAATAATGTACAATATTAAATATCTTAATTAGTTAAAGGGATTATAATAGAAAGATACAAGTAAAAGGAACCCCATATCTAGAGCAGTTGATAGGTAGCAGCTGATATAAAAGGAGCAGACACAGTAACCTAGTTACCAATTAATGGAAAGCTATTGTAAAGCTTTTATAAAGAATCCTTCTGTCAAGATAAGATTCTTCCTAAAGGCAAGAAAAAGTAAAAGGGCAGTGACTTATCCTTGAAGAATTCTTAAAAGTATACTGAGAAGCTTTTTTTTTCATGGAAAAAAATGTAAAATACTATGAACTTCATTTCAATTACGTACAAGACAGCTCACCAAACATGAGATAGATAAGAATAGCTTATCTGTTTAAAGAACTTCTTGTTTTATCAGGGCAGAGATGAGCCAAATCAGTAACCCACTGTGACAATGGAACACCAAGACCTGTACAGTGGTTCCCTAATACTCATCCAAAATGGTGGCTGGCAGGATACCTGAGTATGCAGGTGAGTAGATGGTTTCCCCCTTCTCTGCATGCGGGGAACAGGTAGAAAAGGAAGAGAGAAGAGCTGATGCAAATTTTGCTTCTGCTGGATGGTTGTTCCTCTTAGCAGTTTGGTGAAAAATGAAAACTAAGAGGGAAATCATCGCCCAGAGCCCTCTCAGAGGGAGATGGGCGGTTAAGAAATATGAAATATAAAACAAATAAAGCTTGCAGAAAAATGATAGAGAGGAAGAACAGTTGACAAACACAAAGGAAGTCTAAATGTACAAGGCATCATTTAATTTTAAATCATTTCAAAATCAGATTACATTCTACAATAGCCATGCAACTAGAATGGTGCCATGAAGACAGAAGAAAGCTCAGGAAGATTTGGTCTCCAGCTGCAAAGCTGTTTCTTGGGTATTTTGCTTTCTCTTACATAGGTAGGGTGAATAGGTGTCATTCAAGCAAAAGCTGTAAATGATGAATCTGAAAATAATTGCAGGTTACTTTGACAATGAACTTTTTATAACTAGAATATGGTATGAAAATTTGGCTCATGTATGTAACATGTTTAATGTATTAAACCATGATATATTTAATCACAGTTACTGAATAAATCACAATGCCTGCTTCTTGTACCATAGGATTAAACAATTTGATGACTTAATATCATGAATATAGATCAAATATGCTATATGACTTTAGACAGGAGAGATTAAAATGTGATCTATGTTAGCAATCTATACTGTTCCTCAGTGAAAGCATCACTTAAGTATAATGATAATTAGCATTAGCTTCCTCTTGGCTCTCTGTTTGTACTTTTCTGCTCTGTTCTTTTCACCATGCTATAATAGAAGACCCATCCTTTTAAAAAGTGTAATATTCTACTAAACTATGTCACTCCAATGGGGAAAAAAAGATTGCGAATAATGGTACAATAAAATTTGGGCAATCTAATGTTCAGATTGTTTAAACAATGTGCAAATCTACATACTCTCTGTCTATACACTCATATACACACACCCCTGGATACAATTAAATTTTGTACAAAAAAGACTAAAATAAATCATTAGCATTCAGCTTTAACAAGACATTAGGAAGCTTTCCAGTTAATATATGTAGGTTTACTGAGTTTGGCATGGCTTAATAGTGATGGGGGAAATGAGAAAAAAGAGATAGATAATAATGAAGCAAAAAAAGAAATATTTGCGAACTATATTTTACCATTACTGTTCCCTGTGGTTGTAGAGCCAGTGGTTGCCCCACTGCTACAACTTGCTGATGAGATTCACTTGAGGGACTGATCATTTGCACATTTTGACCTTGAATAGAATATGCTGGAAAGCAAAATAATATTTAGATAAGAACTTTCATAAAATATATATTTTAATTCAAATACACCTATATACATACATATAAATATGTTTATTAAATATATTACTAATAGTTATAACAAACTACTAGTAATAAAAATTTTAAAATCCTTAAAAAATCAGTTTGCTACTAATGGAGACATTTTAATGTAGCCTTTACATCTAAAATTATACTATGCATCCAAAACAGCAATGAGAGTATTCATAGGCACATGGAAGTTTGTAATTTCTATGGACTATTAATAACATTCAACCAGTGAAGAAAAGACTGGTGGGCTTTCAGAATCTGGCCATATATAACTATATTATACTGTACTGTACTGTATTGTACTATACTATACACTACTATAATTATTATTATATATTTCATTTCTTACAGAAGTGAGAAGACAGATCGATATGCTATTCTGACAAGTACGTGTGGCTAACAAAAAAAGTGCATTCTTTCAAAATTGGAGAGCATTTTTACATTCAGATGATGTAAAATAAGACTAAATAATATCCTTACATTTACTGGAAAGGGCAGCACTAGTAGTATTCAGTACTGTCAAGGCATAGTGAGGAGGCAAAGAACCTTTGCAAATAGCAGTAATAAAGGCATCTCTTGATGTTACAAGACTTAGTTTTCCACACAATGCAGCCATAATTAGTTCTGCTTTTAGAATATTTTCTGTGGCAGCTTCATCGGTACTGAAATAGTACAAAAATTATTAACACAATCCATACATATTAAAAATAATTTTGATTAAAAACAAAGCATAAATAACCATATTGTTCCATTGGAAATAAAATAATACACACTGTGCACAATTATTAGGCAAGTGAGTATTTTAACCATATAAACATTTTTATTTATATTTTCCACCTCCAAGCTGTATAAACTTGAATGCTTAGTAGATATAAGCATATCAGGTGATGTATTTGTCTAATGAAGGAGAGTGTAACCTAAGGAGATCAACACCCTGTATCAAGGTGAATAATTAGGCAGCTTCTTTTCCTCAGACAAAAATGGGTCCAAAAAGAGGTTTAACTCACTCTGAAAAGTGAAAAATTCTAAAAAGTCTTTCAGGGGTATGCAGCACACTTGAAATTGCTAAGATATTGGGGCGTGATCACAGAACCATCAAACGTTTTGTTGCAAATTGTCAACAGGGTCACAGGAATGTGTTGAGAAAAAAAGATGTACATTAACTGCCAAAGATTTGAGAAGAATCAAACATGAAGCTACCAAGAATCAATTATCCTCCAGTGCTGTCATATTCCAGAACTGCAACCTACCTGGAGTGTCCAGAAGTACAAGGTGTTCAGTGCTCAGAGATATGGCTCAAGCATCACTGAACAACATACATAAGTTGAAACAGCAAGACTGGGCCAAAAATACCTGAAGTCAGATTTTTCGAAGATTTTATGGACTGATGAGATGAGAGTGACTTTTGACAGACCAGATGGGCCTGTGTTCTGATCTAGGCTTCCTGATACAGTAAAAAGCACATGCTTAGTCCCTAAAAACCCTCTTTTTATTCCAAAGGCTGTGAATTATGTTCATTCACAGACCGTAATGAGTTCCAAATAGTTGTAAAGAGTCCTATAGTAGGCACCAAAGACTTTCAGGATAAGGCTGATAAGCACCCATGTTTATCTTCCTTGAAACGCTGCCAAAGGCTTAATTGGCAATTAGCTTGGCAAGGCCACACAAAGCAGAGTCAAGCCTAGCCCATGTTCCTCCCCAACCCCTTCGCTGTCTGACTCTGCTGCCAGCTCCGCAGGCTGCCAGTGGACCACAACAGCCTGTAGCTGGATCAGTAACAGGCACAGAACTCCACTTCGACTCAGATGCCAGCAATGTGGAGTTGGGGTCCCAGTATGAGCTGGTATTATTTAAAGATGAGCTAGTTGGACCTTTTCAGGTTGAAGGTGGTCTCAAAATCAACTCCCAAACCTACTGCCAGGGTTTAGAAGACACTTTCATCAAGCAGAGATACAGAAAAAAGTCTGCATCTTTCAAGAAGACCATGATTTTTATGCAGGACAATGCTCCATCGCATGCATCGAAATACTCCACTGCATACCTAGCCAGTAAAGGCCTTAAAGATGAAAGAATGGCTCCCTTTCTCACCTGACCTAAATCCTATTGAGAACTTGTGGGCCCTTCTTAAATGGGAGATTCATGGCAGGCCTCTCTGAATAATGTCTGGGAGGCTGTGGTTGTGCTCCACAAAAAGCTGTTTGTCAGCAGATCAAGAAACTGACAGAGTCCATGAATGGAAGACTTATGACTATTATTGAAAAGAATAGTGGCTATATTGGTTACTGATTTTTTTTTAATGTCAGAAATGCTTATTTGTATATTTTAGTTGTTTGTTTATTATTCTCACTTTAACAGATGCAAATAAAAAAGTGAAAATGGGAATGGGAAAATTTTTCATTTGGTTGCATAATTCTGTACACTAATAGTTGCCCAATAATTGTGCACATATAGCTATTCTTCTAAGAAAGCCAAAACCTGACTTTCACTTTCTTAAATATTCAGCTTTGAAGTTTATTAATGTTTTGGATTGACTGATAGCACTGTAGTTGTTCAATAATAAAATTAATCCTCTAAAATACAACTTGCCTAATGTGCACACAACGTAGAAGGGAAATATTTATGTAACAATTAAACATGGTCTAATTAAACAATTAGACATGCAAGATAATTATTAGAAAAATTCTGAAGACAAAAAACAAATTTAAAATAGAGCCCTTTAATAATATGAGCTTATTGGAAGAGGGAGGAGCTGATGTCGCAATGACACAGTGTTAGACAGTCAATATTTCTGCCGCTGGATGGTCCTTTTGGACCTAAACCGTCCCGTAGAGACAGTGATAGAAAAGAGTAAGTCCTGCTGATCTCAGGGACACTGCAAAGTCCCTGATTGATCCAGGAGAAGCTCTTATTTCTGACGACAGAAACGCAGCCTTTGAAGCTGCTGAAGTTGGGACAGCTCCGGAATGGAAAGAAAGCGGAAAGAGAAAGTGTGTCAAATTGATGAGAAATTTTATTATTAGAAAAGAGACTACCCCCCCCCCAATCAAAGCTAAATTAAAATTGAAGGCAGAAGAGAGTAAGCGGCGAAATTAAACTACATTAAACTTAGTGTGTTATCTTTTTTAATTTTTCTTTTTATGGAAATTTTTACAAATGTTCCCTATTTTTTAAACTGAATGGATTAGTTTTTCTTCTACTACTTTTTATTCTTTTTTTATACCTTTGGATTACACATTTTCTTTTCTTTTTACAATGCTTGATTGGATTGTTTTCTATCTCCATTTAAGATTCCCCCCCCCTTAAGTTTGGAACATAAAGAAGATATAAAGAGGAATATAAAGAGGGCTGTAATAACAGATGGAAAAGAAGTAACACTACTACTTAGGCTGGAGGCTGAGAAACATTGTTCTTTCTTTTTCCCCTTTGATCATTTGATATTTCAAGGCTTTTCAGTTTGTTTACTGAGAGTGATAGCAGGAAGAGCATAGGTTGTTTACACAGGTGTTCTTTGGGAGTTCTATCACCAGCTGGAGAAGATAAAGCCTTGACTTGAAAGATTATAATGAACTAGCTTGACATTTAACAAAAAGCCTTGAATGTTATAGTGGCAGTGTTTATGTTGAAAGAATGGAGCAACAGGAAAAAGAAATTTTAACATTACAAATAATTATGTTTGGAATCCAAAAAATACTAGTAGTAACAGAAAAAATTGAGAAGAGATTGGAGAATATAGAATGCAAAACAGAAAAATTTGATTGAAAAATTGAGAATGTTTATCAAATCAAGAAAGTGGAGGACAGAATTCTAAAAATTGAAGAAAAAAATAAGCAAAGAGANTACATACATACATACATACATACATACATACACACACACACACACACACATATATATATATACTTAAAGTCACAACCCCTGGTATGGCTAGCTGATGAGAGCTAAATAGCTTGAAATAGATCTATACTAGTCTCCCTTTATTTATTTATCAGCATAAATATAACATACATATATATGTTAAAGTCACAACCCCGGGTATGGCTAGCTGATGAGAGCTAAATAGCTTGAAATAGATCTATACTAGTCTCCCTTTATTTATTTATCAGCATAAATATAACATATATATATATATCCATATATATAAAACAAGATGACAGCCATAACTGTGCAATTGAAGCTCCACCTCTTTTAAAATGCATATATTGAAAAGGATGGGTTTATAAGGAACAGGTAAGATTCAGGTGACCCTGAGGCTACAGATAAACCTCCAAGTTGTCTCAACAGTTCTCCGAGAGTGCTAATGACCAGATGACTGCAAAGAAATACAATCCTTCCACCCCCACCCTCATCCTATAGAACCTCTTTCCATTCCCCACCCCCCACCCCCATCAGAACTGATTAAGCTTCTTGGATGAGAAGGTAAATGTTTTCTTCTTTTTTCAAGGAAAAAAATAGTCCAGTTGCCTTTTGAAGAACAAAAGCACTTTTGAGACAGTATCTTGCTTTTTTTTAAAACATCACTTCTGCATTCTTCATTCAAATTGGGAATACTATAGTGACATTTTAAAATTTATCTCATAGTCTCTCAAAGATAGTGGTACCTTTTAGAGAATCATAGAACTGGTCCAGAACATTTTCCTGAAAGCAAATAGTAATCTTACTAATTGCAAAATTCATACTGATAAACATCTCCCATATGTGGCATTTGTCCAATGTATTTTCTTCTGAGATTTATATAATAGTTCCAAGAAGAAAGACTTGATAGGTGAATAAAAATGCCAAATCTAATCTAAACTTCTGGTTGACTTGCAACCAACCATAATTGATTTAACTTGTATGCCACCCCACTCTCAATGAGGATGCTCATTGAGGTTCACAATCAAACAAAGAAATTATGATAAAATAAAAAAACATAGTTAAAAGGTAATAAGCATGATGAAATGAAGTATTTCATTCGCTCCACTGAAGGCCTGGGTGAAGAAATTAAAAGAATGAGAACACTTGGCTACAGAAAATTCTAGAAGCTCCTTGAAGGCTGGAATTCTCATCTCATTCTCATTTGTCAACTCTGAAAGAGAAGCTAAGTTGCTAGATAATTTGATTCAGATTTTTAAGCCTTAAAGAATCCTCATGTCATCATATTATGCTGCATCCAGATTTTGCTCAAGGACTGATTGGGTGATGAAAGAACAATTTTTAAACTGTAAAATCCAGTTATTAATTCTGCATTGTCCTTGATGATAGGCAAACATACAACTTTGATAACAGTTGGAAAGCAAAGATTGGGACAAATCAGAATTTTTCTATCAGTGAAATTGTAGATAGTATACTGAAATAATGGGAAAATGTGCAGAATTTAGTGACAATATTCAAGCCATTTCTAGCTATCATAGCAAATAGATTCAGTACCTGGCCACTGACCACTGGTACAAGTTTTATATACATATTATATGCAGAATCAAGTCAGGCAGGTTGGGATGGAGGGCAGCAGACATAATAGGGGACATAGAGATTACACATTATAGCATCACCTGAAAATTGAACAATCCATGTTTATTAGTTGACTAATAGCAGAAACTACTACAACGTTTATGGTAGGAATAAATATGGGGAGAGTCCATTTATTTCACCTTGAGCTTCCAGAGAAATAATTCAAAGGGTCGTGGGTTTTACTATAGCATCCCTAACAGATAGTCATATA